CCTCGGTAAGGCCTTATGTTCTGCTGTTGAGTCGGGGTGATGTTCCTCAGTAGTATTGTGTACGCCATCATCGATTGATAGGTGTACTGCTGCTTCTCATACTGTGTGCCATTTGTTGGATATGGCAGGAACCCGTCGAAGAAGCCAAGGATCTGCGCTCCTTCCATCATCAGCTCGAATTCGAACGACCAGGTAAAGAAGTCCTTTCCGTCAAAAGGCCTTGTCGTTTGTAGTTTTAGAACATGCGCGAATTGCGACTGAACTTGTAATGCGTCCAGCGCTCTCTCTTGTCCCGGTGCAGGCTGTGGTTGCGGCATGAAGCTGACGGAGCCGCACCGGGGCTCGTACGGAGTGAAGGTAGGTTGTTGATGTTGATTCCCACGTGCGTAGGATGAGCCATCGAGACTCATGGGCGTCACGTTGTTGTTGTTGTTTGATTGCGCAGGTACTCCTTGCTGGTGCTGCTCGTAGAAGGACATGAAGGAGAAGAATTTCTCCATCATGCTTGGATCAAAGCCCGTGCCTTGGTTTGCGGGTGTTTCCGTAGACCCAGCTGCTGGTCTCGTCGTTGTCCCCTCCTTTGTCTGTAGGCCAGAGGCAGGTGGTGGAGTAGGGGTAGTACCGGGAGAGCCGTTGGAGGAGCTCCTCTCCTTTCTAGCAGACATGTCTTCTTGATGTATTAAGTGTTGAAAAAGAGTAACTTTTAACTCTAACTGCTCTCATACCATGTTGGGCTGAAACGCCCTAGGATCTTTGTAGAGTTAAAGTCTTGAGTAAATGATGTAATAGTGGAAGCGTTGAATAAAGTCCTTGAACCACCTTGCACTAGTATGTGAGGGCAAAGTAAGTTGATTAAAGCAAAGAGATACAGGAATATAAATATATGAGTACAGAGAATATGAAGAGACATTAGAACTACTTTACTGTTGCGGTTCGATACAGTGCGACTCGGGCAACTGCTCAATGTCGAGTCAGTTGTGTGCAGGCCCCACCTTATCAGAGTAAATTACTCTGTTTCTCTGAAAATCAGAGTCATTTTTTAAAGTAACTCTGTACTCGCTGGGTTTTTTTTTTGGAACTTAAGATTTCTCTGATTTGTCAGAGTTATGCTGTAGGTTACTCTGAGGCCTGTGGGGTTTTTTCTCAGGGACCGAATTTACTCTGTATAGGAAATGCATGCCCCCTAGCCGAAACCCACCCACCCCCCTCCCCCCCTCCCCCTCCCAGGGCCTCAGATATCAGGAAAAAAACCCTGAAATTCCTGATTTTGGCAGCCGTTTTTCAAGCTACCCTGAAAAGTCAGAGTTGGGATTTTAGTAGGACTGATCTTTCAGCGTTTTTTTATTGGCCACACTGATATTTCAGGTTTTTTTCCCGTTGTACACTGATGCCACTACGTTGTAACGAAACCGACACTGAAAGCGAATCTCACCTGTGACATGTCACCTCGACCGCAATTGCAGGGAATCTCAGATTCCCTGTATGTAGGCACCCCGTGGCGGGACCACCCTTAGAAATGTTGCCTTAGGTTCACGTTGAGAGCTGTTTTTTTGGCGGGGCGCCTCACACCATTGGGCCGTTTCGCTGCAGCATCCAGTGTTGGCGAATCCGAATGTGGCATACATGTGGTGCTGGTGGGCTGCCAAGGTTCCTGCCCCGTACCCATCATGTGCGATGCGTTAGGTTTGGGCTGTGCTGGCAAGCACCGTGCCATCCTCCACGCCGCCCAGCCCATCCACCGTTTCTGCCATCTAGAAGTAGGACTTTAAAATAGAGTCAGTGTTTTTGCAAAAGGTACACTGATGCATCAGAATTTAAAAATTCGCAACACTGACATTTCAGCCTTTTTGTTTTTTGGGACACTGAAAATCAGAGTTAACACGCAGGGGGACCCTGATGGGGTGACGACCCTAAAAGTGAATCTGAGGCCCTGCCCCCTCCCCACGTTTAGCGGGTTTTCCCTGAATCGTTGAGATTATTATCCTGATTTCGGTCGTGTGTTGGGGTCAATATGAGCGTTGATTGGCTACTAAAGTTTGACAACTTCTCAACCAGCGCACATGTCAGCCACTCCCCTCCCCTCTCCTTGAGTCAGATTATCGGTGCCAACACCTCACTTCGAAACAACGCACTGAGGGGGAAAACGTGGGCGACGCGGAAATGAAACATAGTGCAAGCACAAAAGGCGTAACAAAAACTTTCATACAGCAAACGTAACCAACATTAGAGTAGAGAAAAATATTACTCTGACGTGCCTAGGTTTTATTTTTTAAAGTGTAGGGTTACTCTGACAAATCAGAGTAAGGCGCATGAACAACCCTAGATTTCAGAGTTGGGAAAAAAACTACTATGGAAATCAGAGTACCTAGAATCCAAAAGTAGGCCCTGGTTGTGTGTCCTTGCTGTCGCGCTGCGTCAGGTCAAAGGTCGCTGACCTTTGACTTTCTCGTAACCTCCAGCGGTTACGTTAACCTCCGAGGGTTGACTCGCGATGCTTCGATTTGAGCTGCTTCACTTGTGTCTTGAGTTTCGACACGACAGAGGCGCTTAAACTATTTGTTCCCAACAATTATGAGGGTGGTTTTGGTTTTGAAGCTGTCTTGCAGCTCACGCAAGCCACAGTGCTTTTATTTCTTTACATAATTTTCCGTTGGGAAGTTGATTATATAAGTAAAGATCGACCTTGCTGAATTTCAATAGGTGCATGTGAAACCATATTAAGCTTGCTTAATTTCAGTAAGTCACCTTTCGCAGGGTATAAATATCAAAGTGAATTATCGGGGAGGTTCATAACGCATTTCAGCCGATCACAGTCCCGCCCTCCTCCCACGATTTTTATCTCACGCCGCTGATCTGGTCGCACTAGCTCAACAGCTTTTCTCCTCATCAGGTGATTTCTTCACTAGCTCATCTCCTCGCTGTCTAACCTTTCCTAACTTCCTCCCATTCAAGTCCGTCTCGGTCTTGTGTCTGCGCAGGGCTTTCTCTCCCGTAGCTTAGGCTCGACGCTGCTAGTATCTCAAGTGTGGAGTGTTATCAACGACTTGTTAGCAGCTAAGTTGTGTTCGTTACCGTCTGGATCAATGGTGCAGCTGTGGTGGGCTGTAGCGGCAGCCGCAGTGCCAGTCGTTTTCATTCGAAACCTCGTGCGAAACCGCGACGGCGACTCCGATTCGCGAAACAACGCCTCGTCGTCGCGGCGAAAAGGCGGCAAGCGCGGCGGCGTCGCCGTCGCAGACGACGCATCCGTCGGCGGCGACTCGTTTGTCTGCGAACGCGTGTGCGCGTCGCGAAGGCTCTTAAATCGAATGGGCCCGTTCTCCAAGGACCCGACGCCGAACACGTGTGTGACTGTATGCGGAGTGTCTGACGTGGACTCGTGCACGGAGGCGTGTCGGCGCGTGGTGTGCGTGAACCCGCACCACGTGCCCAACTGGAACGACAGCTGCATGCGCCGCTGCCAGGACGAGTGCCTTCGCGGCCTCGCGCGCTGATTGGTCTAGTGCGCTCGTTGGTCGAGCACGCTGATTGGACGAGTGCATCCACGGCATCGCGCGCTGATTGGGTTGTGCGGTGCAGTGGAGACTAGGCCATGGAGATTAGACTGCGGCGTGCAACGCGGGGATTTAGCGCAAGGCTGTCGGGGAGGGTCAATCAGCTATTGTGTGTTGGTCAGGCGTGTGTTGCAGGAGGAACTCCGGGTTGATGGTAGGGAGGCGCAGCAGCAGCAGCAGCAGCAGCAGCAGATGTGTGTTGATTAATTTTAGGGGCTTCAAGTGCGGTATAGACGGATGCTAGGAGCATGGATTCGGTGAGAAAGGACACGTGACAGCAGCAGCAGCTGCCGGGGAACGGACACGTGGGAGCACCAGCGGAAGAAAGGGCATGATGCAGCAGCAGCCTGCATGCTTCATGTGCATCTCTTGATCTCTATACCTTGATTCTGTCAGTGCTGTGTTGGGGCAGCTTGCAGCAGGGATGAATGGAGAGAGGAAGGTTAGGTATCCCTAACACTTCCTTTTACTTGGATGCCCTGCCATGTCAAATAGTAGGTTCCTTCACTTACCGTATCTTAGAAGTCAGCAGCAATCATTTTCGTTCTGACATGTAGTAGTTGATTAGGGTAGTTGAGGCGTCTGAACCTAGGAGGATGGTGGTGGATGGTTTATGGCTGAAGATAATGTCTCAGTTGGCTCTCTCATGGCAGATTGTCTGGGATCATCATATCACACAAATAAGGTCTGAACTGAATTGAGTAGAAACATTGCTGGTACTGAATTTCGTTGCAACGACATATAGTCGTGAAAAGTGTGATAAAAAGCACAACACTATTACCGTGTGAAACCACGAACTCAACCGCATTCAACAATCAGTGAAAGAACCTACGTTGTGGCCCAAACTTCGAACCAGCCGTGGTGCCGAGTCAGCTTTCCCGGCACCGTCACGGCGCAGTCAGCACTGCCACGACGTTACTTTTCCGTCACCACAGCGCCTCTCGCGCAGCATTTCCCGCGAATATCATACTCGTTATAGGATTCAAAGAACAACTCGAAGAGCAGCGAGGTTCCGCTAGTGTGGTAGCATGGCGGTCGTTTCGCTGCTTTCTACGTGTGCTAATCTCGTCCCTTCATCCTCGCACCCAGCGCATGCCTTGTGCCTCTCAACCGCTCCCAACCACTCTCTCCGTCACCGTCTTACCGTCCCTCTCTGTCCCTCGCCCACTCCCTCCCTCTCCGCAAGCAAGCGAGTCCCAAATATCTCCTCGGTGGTGAGAGACCGACTAAGAAACCCGTCTCTGCTTCGCTCTAGGTCAACTTCTCAGCCTAACTCCTTCGCTCGCGCGCCAAAAGCGTTAGATTTGGTTTCTCGTCGCTCGCGACTTGTGGCCGTTCGATCTAGGACGTTCGACGAACCGCGGGAGAGATCCGCGGGGAGATCAGGGGAGGAGAGGGGGGAAGAGCGATGGGGGAAGGAGAGAGGGGAAGAGAGTTGGGGGGAGGATGGGGTGGAGGATGGATGGGGGGAGGAGAGGGCAAACGGTGGATGGCGGGAGCGGAAGGCGAGGGAAAGATCAGCGGAAAGTTGGGGGCAGCGATTGGCGGAATGGGCTGGGGGGGAAGGCGAGGGCGGAGGGTCAGGGGAGAGATCAGCGGAGAGATGGGGGGAGCGGAGGGGTGGGGGAGGCACGAGGGGCGCGCGGGGAGGACGAGGGGGGCGGACAGAGAGGGGTGGGCGCGGGGGCAGGGGACAGGGTTCAGGGTTTAGCCGTTACGGGACGGATTGGTTTGATGAGGGGCGTGGAGGGTTTCGGGGGAGACGGCGGGGAGAGGGGGATGGGGAAAGGGCGGAGTGGCAAGGGGAAGGAAGGGGGATCGGCGGAAGAGGGGAGAGCGGATGGGGGGAGGGCGGAGAGGGTTTCGGGTTTGGATCAAGGTTTGGTGGTAGGCGAGAGAAGGTTAACAGGCGAAAGCACACGGAGCTGGCGATAGACCCCGCGCTGGTTACCAGCATTGGCGAAGAGGCGAACGGGGGGGAGGAGGGGGAAACAGGTGGGCCGGGCGAGGGGTTGAAGGGGGATGTTAAGGAAGCGCGAGAAGGGGAAAGGGGAATGGGGCAGGGGGGAGGCGGAAGTGACTATAGAGGGCGTGATGGTAGGGAGATCGGGGGAAGGGGGAGAGGGGGAAGCGGAATAGCACTGGCGGGTGGGAGAGGGGGAAGGGACGCGCGGCAAGGGGGGTGGGGGGGTGATGCGGATGAGTGGGCGGAGGACGGGGGGGATTGGCGGGTGGCGGAGCGGGAGGCTGATGATTGGGGGGACGACAGGGGCGCGCGGGGGGACGGGGGAAGGGCAAGGGGAGGCGGGGCAAGCTCGAGGGGGGGCAGGAGTGGCGGATGGGAAAGAGGAGGGCGCAATGGCGGAGAACAGATGGGGGTTTACGAGCAGTGGAGCAGGGGGATGAGCAAGCGGAGGGCGAAGGTTGTGGGGGTGCGGGAGGAGGGAGAGGGGGGCATGGGGCAAGGTGGGGAGGAGGGGAAGGCGGGGAGAGAGGGTAAGGAAGGGAAGGAGGGGAGGGAAGGGAATGAGGGGAGGGAGGGCATGGGGGAAGAAGGAGGGAATTCAGATGAGGAGGGGGGGAGGCGCTGGTGGCAGCGCGGGGATAAGTATGTTCGGGGGGAGAGGAATTTGAGGGAGGAGGGGGATGTGAGGGGGGAGAGGAATTTGAGGGAGGAGGGGGATGTGGGGGGGGAGGGGAATGTGAGGGGGGAGAGGAATTTGAGGGAGGAGGGGGATGTGGGGGGGGAGAGGGATGTGCGTGGTGAGAGGGGTGAGGGTAGGGGGCGCAACGTGGAGGAGAGGATGTATAAGGGGAGGGATTATAAGGAGGGGGGTTATGAGAGGAGGGATTACAGTGAGCCTGAGAGAGTGCAAGAGGAGAGGGGTTATGATAGGAGGAGCGGGTACAGCGGCAGAGGAAGGTATGAGGGGGAGGGGCGCATGGAAAGAGACAGGGGCGTGGGTAACAGGGAAGGGGTGGGCGGTAGCAGAGGGGGGACGGGTAGCAGGAGAGTAGACAGGGAAGGGGGCTATGATGAGAGGAACGGGTACAGCGGCAGAGGGAGGTACGAGGGGGAGGGGCAGATTGAACGAGACATGGGCATGGGCGGTAGCAGAGGAGGCATGGGTAGTAGCAGCAGAGTAGACAGGGAAGGTGGCTATGATGAGAGGAACGGGTACAGTGGCAGAGGGAGGTACGAGGGGGAGGGGGGCATGGAGAGGGATGCAGGTGCGGGCGGCAGGGGAGGCATGGGCGGGGGAAGGGGAGATGGGAACGAGAGGGATGAATATGATGGTAGGGGCGTTTGCACGAGGGGAGGAGGTGAGCCGAGGGGCATGGGCACTGGAAGCAGGGGGGGTATGAGCGGGGAAAGAGGATTGAACGGAGGCAGATTGGGCAGGGAAAGGGGAGCAGAGGGAGGGAGAGGGGCAAGGTGGGAGAAGGAAGGAGGCACGAGTGGTAGAGGCACTCGGCGAGAATATGCTGAATGGGAGGAGCAGGAAGGAGAGGAAGGAGAGGAAGGTGATGAGGAGGGGATGCGAGGAGGCGGAGGGAGAGGCAGCAGTGGTGGGAGAGGCACGTTGCGGCAGTCGTCAACATCAGAATCAGCGGTATCAAGTTTACCTGCTGCTGTTCTTGAAGAGCCCACTTTGAACTGCGAGCATTTCACAAAGTAAGGAGCGTCATTGTGAAATTCGCCTCCCACACCCCATACCTGCATATGCTGAAATTCATTGCAAGCATTTCACAAAGTAAGGAGCTTCAATGCTTTCATGCACCTTCCTCACCTCCCATACCTGCATACGTTTCTGCACCATAAATACATTGCTTCCTTCCCATCCGCCTGCTCTATCACCCACCCACCCCACGCCCTGTCCCCCCCTCTCCTTCCCCCCTTTTGAGTCGACTCAAAAGTCACCAACCCCACGCTCTGTCTCCCTCTCCTACCCCTCTTCTCCTCTGTGTAGGAATAGAAGGCATAGCTGTATTGTGTTACAAGGATTCACGGGAAGGAGAAGGGGGAAGAGTAAAAGGGGGTTCTCATAGTTGTGGGATTTGAAAGGGGTTCAATTGGGATTCTGTCCAACATTGGCCGAATTTTGAGTCGACTCAAGAATAGAAGGGGGTTCTCATAGTTGTGGGAGTTGAAAGCTTAGTTGGAGTATACGCGTTTCGCGTTTTATACGCTAGCGTATAAACGCAGTACGCAGCTTTGGAGGGGTCTAATACGCAGTGAAAACGCAGGGCCGGGCAGGGGTAAAAAAAGTTTTGGGCAGGTGATTTTTTTTGGGTTAAGATGTGGGGAAGGGGGTGGTGCAAGGCACCATCACCTCCCTTCCCCTTTTTATTATAGGGCAGGTTACATGCACACAACATTTTGCCTACATCACTAAACCCCCTACCCCACCTCCCTTTCCCTTCCCTTTTTCAGGAATCAACAGAACTAGCATTAGGAGCTGCAGTAGGGGTAGTAGTACTGAGTGTTGCTGCAGGAGGGGTCGCCATACTGAAAGGCGAGCTAAAGAAGAGAGCTAAACTGAGTAATGAAAGTCGAGTGGAAAGACACACATTTATGGTAGGAATGGTGGGTGGGTTGAGGGGGACTCACCTCAACATTGTATTTGAAGAGGTTGGAAGTGAACGGGGTACAAGGGGGTTTGCAATGGTAAAGGGTGGGTTTGGTGTGACTCGGTTTCAAATTTCGAATTCGGGGTTGCACTCGCGACGTGCGAAACCCCACACTTGAATCGCCATGTCGCTAAACGAAACTCAAATTTTGATTTTTTTTTTCCCGGTCTGCCCGAGCGTTTTTCAGCGTTTCCGAACCAAAAACGCAGCGGTCGTTTTTTTAGCGCGTATAAACGCAATACGCAAAATGTTCAGAGCGTATACTCCAACTAAGGTTGAAAGTGGTTGTGGGAATCTGTCCAACATTGGTCTTCCTGCTTGTATCACTTTTGAGCATTCTTCTGGCAATTGATACCAACAGACTAAGCTGACAAACTCTTTTGAGGGTAATTTAGCGATCTTTTCCAACTCCCTTGCCCACCTCCCGTCCTCCCGCTCCCTTCATACAGCTGCTCCGCCTGCACTCGCAGTGCTGCCCTTGAGCGCCCTCTAGTCATCACACTGCTCATCACTCACCTTTCTTCTCCCCGTTCTCCCCCCCTTCTCCCCCATGCAGCTGCTCCAGCTACACTCGCAGTGCTGCCCTTGACCGCGCTCTAGTCATGGCGGAGGCAGAGGCGCGTAACATTGCTCATCACCTGCCTTTCGTCTCCCCCTTCTCTCCCCTTTCCCCCCCATGCACCTGCTCCGCCTGCACTCCCAATGCTGCCCTGGACCGCCCTGCCATTATCACAGAAGCAGAGGTGCATAACACCACAGAAGCAGAGGTGCATAACACCACAGAAGCAGAGGTGCATAACACCACAGAAGCAGAGGTGCATAACACCACAGAAGCAGAGGTGCATAACACCACAGAAGCAGAGGTGCATAACACCACAGAAGCAGAGGTGCATAACACCACAGAAGCAGAGGTGCATAACACCACAGAAGCAGAGGTGCATAACACCACAGAAGCAGAGGTGCATAACACCACAGAAGCAGAGGTGCATAACACCACAGAAGCAGAGGTGCATAACACCACAGAAGCAGAGGTGCATAACACCACAGAAGCAGAGGTGCATAACACCACAGAAGCAGAGGTGCATAACACCACAGAAGCAGAGGTGCATAACACCACAGAAGCAGAGGTGCATAACACCACAGAAGCAGAGGTGCATAACACCACAGAAGCAGAGGTGCATAACACCACAGAAGCAGAGGTGCATAACACCACAGAAGCAGAGGTGCATAACACCACAGAAGCAGAGGTGCATAACACCACAGAAGCAGAGGTGCATAACACCACAGAAGCAGAGGTGCATAACACCACAGAAGCAGAGGTGCATAACACCACAGAAGCAGAGGTGCATAACACCACAGAAGCAGAGGTGCATAACACCACAGAAGCAGAGGTGCATAACACCACAGAAGCAGAGGTGCATAACACCACAGAAGCAGAGGTGCATAACACCACAGAAGCAGAGGTGCATAACACCACAGAAGCAGAGGTGCATAACACCACAGAAGCAGAGGTGCATAACACCACAGAAGCAGAGGTGCATAACACCACAGAAGCAGAGGTGCATAACACCACAGAAGCAGAGGTGCATAACACCACAGAAGCAGAGGTGCATAACACCACAGAAGCAGAGGTGCATAACACCACAGAAGCAGAGGTGCATAACACCACAGAAGCAGAGGTGCATAACACCACTTATTGCTTTCCCTTTCTCCCCCCTTTACCCCTTCACCTTCCCCTTGCAGCTGCTCTGGCTGCTCCCTGAATGCTGCTCTTGACCGCCCTCCCATCATCACAGAGGCAGAGGCACAAAACGATCTTCTCACATTCCCCTTCCCCCACCCCTACTCCCCTCCCACTCCTCCCCTCCCCTCTCCAACCAAGCAGCTGCTCTGGCTGCTCCCTGAATGCTGCTCTAGACCGCCCTCCCATCATCAAGGAAGCAGAGGCGTTCTTTGAAGCTCGTGGGGTGGCGGGCTTTAAGATGCACACAGCTAATGTGGTGAGCGGTGGGAGAGGGGAAGGGGCGGTGTGTATTCATGTATACACTGCCTTGCCTACCCACGTGCATCCTTTCTTTTCCATTCTTGCGGGGGGAGGAGAAATGGCGGGCTTTAAGCTGTCCTCAGCTGATGTGGTGAGCGGGAGAGCAGAGAGGGGGATGTGAATGCATGCATATATCATCATAAGTTCACATCACTCGCATGGGGTGAGAGATGGAGGCGGTGTGATTGTCTCCCTACCGCTATCTCACGTCTAAGTGGAGTGGCGGTGCCAGCCAAGCTAGTAGTGAGGGGCACAGCAGGGGATCCGCTGGTGGGGCTGTCCTGTTACTTTATCGCCCTCTCCTCCTCCCACCCTGTCCTCCCATCCTGTCGTCCCATCCTGTCGTCCCATCGTGTCCCCCATCCACCCTGTCCCCCATCCACCCTGTCCCCCATCCACCCTGTCCCCCATCCACCCTGTCCCCCATCCACCCTGTCCCCCATCCACCCTGTCCCCCATCCACCCTGTCCCCCATCCACCCTGTCCCCCATCCACCCTGTCCCCCATCCACCCTGTCCCCCATCCACCCTGGTCCCTTTTCTGTCTCTGTCTCTCTGCAGGTGGAGTGGCGGTGCCATACCGAGCTGCCAGTGAGGGGCACAGCAGGGGATCGGCTGGTGGGGCTGCCTTGTCAATATATTGCTGTCTCCTCCCCCCACCATTTACAGGTGGAGTGGCGCTGCTGTGCCAAGCTAGCAGTGAGGGGCACAGCACACCCCATGTCTTTCCCGCAACACCCACCCGTTGCCCAACCCTTGTTGCCCGAGCAGGTGGAGTGGCGCTGCAGAGCCAAGCTAGCAGTGAGGGGAACAGCAGAGGAGCCGCTGGTGGGGCTGTATGCAGCACGGTCTCACGATGTGGTGGATATTCCCACGTGTAGAGGTGTGTGGGTGGGAAAGTTCCATACCTGTATGTAGACTGGAACGTGTTCGAGGCGAACCGAACAGGTTTTGTTTTTTAGCTCAAATCGTTCGCCGAACAGTGTTCGATGTTCGCCCGAACACGTTCGTGTTCGGGCCGCTGCTGAAATTTGCCCGCGACGAACACGAACGCCTTCGAGGTTCGCCCGAACACGCCTCCACAGGCGAACAGCGAACACCTGTTTTTTCCTAAACTGTTCGCCGAACCGAACAGTGTTCGGTTCGGCAAAAGAGGGTGTTCGACAAGGGGCGAAGACGAACATGTTCGTGTTCGCCCTTTGCTCATCCCTAATCTCATGTGCAGAGGCACCATGTGATAATCCTGTTGTAACTGTATCTTATACACAACATACATAGGCTAGAATGGTGTAGCTCTTTATGTTCTTGGGGGGTTGGGTGTACACTCCAACCACATTTTGTGGTTGGTCAAGGTTGGGTTTGGTCTTGGTCCTTGGTTGGCACTTGCTAACTTTTGGTCCTAAGGCCTACCAATCACAACCTAGCAACATTGTGGGGTTACCTACTCCACAAGGCATCTCCCCCATTGGCCAACTTAGTGGCCAATAGGGTTTGCTCCTTCTTCACCCCTCTCTTGCTTGCATGCTTGTACTATAGAGCCTCCATGGCTCATTATTCAACTACTCTTGAATTCTATCATGGTATTCAGAGCCAAATGGCTCACGCCACCTTCCCTCGATCCTCATGTTGTAATTCCCTCCCCGCTCCCTTACCCTAGCGGACTATGACCTACATCAGCCCACCCGCTCCTCAGATCTAGCCTCCCGCGGCTCAGTTCCGCCTCCCGCGGCTCAGTTCCGCCTCCCGCACCTCAGATCTAGCGTTCCGCGGCGTAGATCTCCTCCTCCGCGGCCTCAATCCTCCCTCCCGCGGCCTCTATCCTCCCTCCCGCAGCCCCTATCCGCTCCGCCGTGGCAGCAAACCTTCCTCCCGCCGCCACGCCTCCATCTGCCCGCCGACGCGTCCGACCTCCGCGCCGACGCGGACGACCAGCGCGGCGACGCGGACGACCTGCGACCGCCGCGGACGGCCAGCGCGCGACCCCCGACGACCAGCGCGCTGCCGCGGACGGCCAGCGCGGCCTCGCCGACGGCCCGCGCGCTGACGCGGACGGCCAGCGCGGCCCCGCCGACGACCCGCGCGCTGACGCGGACGGCCAGCGCGGCTCCGCCGACGACCCGCGCGCTGACGCGGACGGCCAGCGCGGCCCTGCCGACGACCCGCGCGCTGACGCGGACGGCCAGCGCGGCCCCGCCGACGACCCGCGCGCTGACGCGGACTGCCAGCGCGGCCCCGCCAACGAGCCGCGTGCTGACGCGGACAGCCAGCGCGCGGCCACGAAAGAACCGCGCGCCACCGCGGACGGCCAGCGCGCGGCCGTCGACGCCCCTGCGCCGACGTGGACGGCTGGCGCGCAGCCGCGGCTGATCTGCCCGCCGTCGCGTTCGCCTGCCCGCGATCTCCACGACCTCGAAACCCTAATACCTCCCCGCACTTCCGCACCAGCCTCTCTTCCCCTCTACCTCCTCCCCCTACTCCACCCCTAACGGCACCAGCAGCAGCAGCAGCGGCATCGGCGGCGGCAGCTGCAGCGGCATCGGCGGCGGCAGCAGCAGCAGCGGCATCGGCGGCGGCAGCAGCAGCGGCATCGGCGGCGGCAGCAGCAGCGGCATCGGCGGCGGCAGCAGCAGCGGCATCGGCGGCGGCAGCAGCAGCGGCGGCACCAATACCAACAGCAGCAGCGGCGCCTTCACCCCTCCGCCGTCATGGCGTCATCCGACTCCTCGGTCGATCTAGCGACCATTGACGCCCTCGAGCTGCTCGGCGACAACTCGGCCGCCAACTGGCACTCCTATGCTCACTCCGTCGAGGTGTTGCTCTCCTCGGTCATCGTCAGTGGTTATACACTCCGCTCCGTCGTGTTCCAGGAGGAAGGCGGACTCCAGCCCATCGCCCCTTCTGCCCCCACCGGACCTCCTCCTGATGAGCCCGGACCTGAGCCCGAGTCCCCTGGTGATCCTCCCTCCTTCGCACCGGATGTCAACAATCCTCAAAGCGTGGAAACTGCCATCCGTGCCTACCGCAACACACTCAACGACCACCTTCGCCGTCAACTGCGCTATGAGGACGACAAGCGCGCCTACGACGAGGCTGCTGCCCGTCACCGCGACTACCACGCCCAACTCACCACGTACACTACACGCCTCGCTAGCTACACCTCCGACATCGCTGCGTGGCGCATTGCTGACCGTCGAGCTCTCGCCATCCTCCTCGCCACTATCCCCTCCTCCCACCTGTGGCAACTGCTTGTCGACCTCTTTGACCGGCAGGACATCGCCACCCTCTATGCCCTCATCAAGGACTTTGGATCCATCACCATGGATTCCACTGCCGGCGCAGCCGCCTTTACTCGCCGCGTCCTTGACCTTGCTCGCCGCCTTGCAGCACTTGGTGTTACCTACCCTGACACCGTCATCTGCTGCCACCTCCTCGAAGGCCTCACTCCTGCCTTCGATGCCCACAAGCTGGCCTATATGCAACTCCTCTCCAAACATGACACTCCCGCTCAAGTTGCCCAGTGGATTATCACCACCGAGGCAGAAATCCTTCGCCACTCCTCCTCCACTGCCGCGGTAGCACAGCAGCGCAGCAGCAAAGGCGGACGTGGAGGGGGGCGTGGAGGTGGGCATGGAGGTGGTCGAGGCGGCTCTGGCGGTCGTGGTGGTGCGGGTCGTGGTGCAGCAGCGGCCTTCCCACCCTGTCAGTATCTTCCCCTTTATGGCCCCACCCGAGGCCAACGCTGCAACCAAACCACTCATGCAACTGAGACGTGCTTTAAGGCACTCAGCGATGAGTGGTTCGCTCGTGGGAACTCTGGCACCCCTCCTCGCTGGTCCGCCCTTAATCCCCGCCCCACTCCCCTCGACGTTCGCACCTCTCCCCTCTACGCTCCTTCCTCCTCCTCCCAGGCCCACCAGGCCTTTGCTCTCCCCTCTCAGCAGCAGCAGCAGCAGCAGCATCAGCAGCAGCAGCAGCAGCAGCAGAGTGTACAACAGCAGGGACCGCAGCAGTACGGGCAGCAGCTTCAGCAGCTCCAGCAGCAGCTTCAGCAGCTCCAGCAGCAGCTCGACCTCCAGCCCCAGCTTCCTCTCCTCCCTCCTCCTCCTGTCCCCCAGCAGCAACAGTTTCCCGGCTGGACCGCTGGGAATGCAGCCTCTGCGGCCCACCTCTCCGGTCCCTCCCCTGCGCCGTCCACAGGTGGTAGTGTGACCCCCTTTCCCTCCTCTGGCTTTGTTGGTCTGCTTAGTCAGCCTCCCTCTGTTGCATCCCCTATGTATGCCCCTGCTACTAATGAAACTTCCATTCAGTACTCCGCCTCACCCTCCTCCACCCTTGAGTTCGTCCTGGATAGTGGAGCCACTGACAATGTCTTTCGCGATGCTGGCAAACTCCATCCTCTCCCCACACCCACGTCCCTCCTCGGCGCTGACAGCAGCTTTTCCATCCCCTGTCACAACACGTCCACCCTTCCCTGTCCTCTCTTTCCCTCAGGTACCGTCACAGGTCTTCACATTCCCTCCCTTCGCACTAACCTCCTTTCCCAAAGGTCCCTCCAACAATCCATGATCACCACTGTCACCCCAGGAGGTGCTAACCATTGTGACCTTTTCCAAACCTCCACAGGTCGCTTCCTCGCCCGCATTCCCTACTGTCACCGCTCCCGTCTATACACCCTTCGGGTTCCTCGCCCCTTCACCTTCCAAGTTGCCTCCCCCCCCCCTCCTCCCCCCCCCTCCTCCCCTCCCTCCCACTAACCCACCCGTCCCCCCCCGCCCCCCTGACTCTGACTGCTCATGTCGCTCCCTCTCCCACCCTGCTATCCTCCTCCATCACAGGCTAGGTCACCCCAACTTTGCCACTCTGCGCTCCTCTGCATCCTCCGGTCTCCTCCACGGTCTCCCCTCCTCCCTCCCTCCCCTCCCAAAGTCCCCTGCCCCCCCTTGCGTCGTCTGTGTTCAGAGCAAGCTCAAGCAGCAGCCGCACTGGAGCTCCCCCTCCGCTGCAGCCCAGCCACTTGATCTTGTTCACATGGACCTCTGGGGCCCTAACCCCTCCCCCACTCGCCAAGGCCATCGCTACCTCCTCGTGCTCGTCGATGATCACAGTCGGTACTCGTCCGTCTCTCTCCTTCGGACGAAGGCGGACGCCCCGACTGCGATCATTGCCTGGCTCGAACAGGCAAACACCCACTTTGGGCGCCCTGTTCGCCGCCTCCACTCTGATGGTGGTGGTGAGTTCCTTAACAACCAGATCTCCTCCTATTGCCAGTCCCGCGGCATTCTTCAGACTTACACCCTCCCTCACTCCCCACAGCAGAACGGTGTCGCTGAGAGCCGTGTTCGGGAGATCACCAAAACGGCTCGGTGTCTCCTTGTCCACGCCTCCTGCCCCCCTTCTCTGTGGGGCTACGCCCTCCTTCATGCCGCCCTCCTTACTAACCTTTACCCTCACCCCCTCCTCCCCTCCACCACCCCCACTGAGCTATGGACAAAGGACAAACCCGATGTCTCCCCTCTTCGGGTCTGGGGCTCAAAGGCATATGTCCTCATTCACCCATCTGACCGATCCCGTTCCCTAGGAAAACTTGCCCCTCGTACCCTTCCCTGCATCTTCCTTGGTCATAACCCCTCTTCCCCCGACTATCTTTTCCTCCACCCCCCCTCCGGTCGACTAATTCGCAGCAGGGATGTCGTCTTTGACGAATCCACCCCATACTATTCCTCTCCTCCGTCCACTGACCCACTCCCACCTCTGACTCGTCCCCTTGTCTGGTCTGACACCACCCCTCCCCCTCTCCTCCCTCCTCCCCCCATCCTCCCACCCCCTTCCCCACCGCCCCCCCAGTCCCACGGTGCCCCTCCCTCGTCTGGTGACATCTTTGACCCGGACCCCCTGTCTTCCCCTGTCTCCCCCGCTCACTCCTCCCCTGGTGCCCCTCCTCCCCCTCCCTCCCAACCCTCGCCTCCCTCCCCCCCTCCCCGCACCACACTCACCCGGTATCCTCACACCAGGTCATGCGACGGTATTCTTGGTGCACCGCCCCCTGTTACCCTCTCTACCTCTACCCTCCCCCCTCTTTCCCCCCTTCTTCACCACTTCTTCCAGGCTGTCCTGCATCAAGCCCCTCATGCACCCGCCCCCTCTACTACCTCTCCAGCAGCGGCAGCAGCAGCAGCTCCAGCAGCAGCCACCGCAGCGGCACCAGCAGCGGCACCAGCAGCGGCAAGTGCAGCGGCACCAGCAGCGGCAAGTGCAACGGCACCAGCAGCGGCGAGTGCAGCGGCAGCGGCGGCCTCGGCAGCGGCACCAGCAGCGGCGGCACCAACAGTGGCACCAGCAGCGGCACCTGCGGTCATCCGCGCCTTCCACACCTCCCTCTCTGAGGACTCCCATGAGGAGTTCCTTGACCTCCACCTCTCTGACCCCTCCCTCCTTCCCATCACCTCTGACCTCTCTGGAACACCAGTCTTCGCCTTTTCCTCCGCACCCTCCACCTTCATCCCAACCACGTATGAGGAGGCCATGGCTTGTCCCGACGCCCCGCTCTGGCTCGCCGCCATCATCAAGGAGCTCGAGGCGTTTATTGCCAACTCCTCCTTCGTTGATGTGCCTCGCCCTCCCCCCTCTACGAACGTGGTCAAGGGGAAGTGGGTGTTTCGCGTCAAGCAGCTGCCAGGAGAACCGCCCGTCTACAAGGCCCGGTATTGCGCCAAGGGCTTCACGCAGCGGTATGGCTTTGACTTCTTCGACACCTTCTCCCCCACCGCCAAACCTGCTACCGTTCGCGCCGTCCTCGACCTCGCCGCTCGCCTCAACATGGAGATCCACTCGATGGATGTCTCCAACGCCTTCCTGCAAGGCGTACTACGTGAACTGATCTACATGGAGCGCCCAGCGGGCTTCCACCTCCCCTTCCCCGCTGACTCTGTCTGGCAGCTGCGCCGCCCAGTGTATGGGCTCCGCCAGGCTCCCAGGGAATGGCATGCCAAGCTTGCTGCCACCCTTGTCGAGCTTGGGTTTCGCACCTCCCGCTCCGACGCCAGCCTCTTCCTCCGCACCTCCCCCTCCCCCTTCTACATCCTCGTCTATGTTGACGATATGATTCTTCTCACTGCCGATCCTGCCGAGCTCGAGACTGTCAAGACGGAGCTGGGCAGCCGTTTCAAGTGCAAAGACCTGGGAGAGCTGCAGCACTACCTCGGCATGACCATCACTCGCGACCGCTCCGCCCGCACCATCTCTCTCTCTCAGGGCCACTACCTCCAGCAGGTCTTAGAACGGTTTGCAATGGCGCGCGGTAACCCCCAGCCCACTCCCCTTTCGGTCGGGCACCACCTCTCCCCACCCTCCTCTCCCTCTCCCTCCTCCCATCCTTATCCTGAACTCATCGGCTCTCTCATGTACGCCATGGTCTCTACTCGCCCTGACCTTGCCTACCCCATCAGCGTCCTCGCTCGCTTCGTTGGCGCTGGCAAGCATATGGAGGAGCACTGGCAGGCCGCCAAGCGCGTTCTTCGCTACATTCGTGGCACCAAGGACTATGTCCTTACCCTTGGCGGCCCTTCCCCACCCCTCCTCCACGGCTACAGCGACTCTTCCTGGGCTGACTCTCGACCGGATCGGCGGTCCTCTCAGGGTTATGGCTTCTCTCTGGGCAGCGGCCTCATCAGCTGGCGGTCCACACGCTCCTCTGCCGTCGCCCTCTCCTCCTGCGAGGCAGAGCTCTACGCTGCAACCATGGCCGCGCAGGAGGCGCGCTGGCTCACCTTCCTCCTTGATGAGCTTGGAGCCCCCCAACGCTGTCCCACCATCTGGTGTGACAACGCTAGCACCATCCACCTCACCAAGGATGCTGTGTATCATGGGCGCTCCAAACACATTGAGCTCCGCTACTTTTTCATTCGTGAACTCGTTGAGGCCGGCCATCTTCGCCTTGGCAAAATCGACTCGGCGGCCAACCTCGCTGACATCTTCACCAAAGCCCTTCCCCAGGCGTCCCACTCCTTCCTTCTGCGCCTCCTTGGCCTCACCCCTCCTCCGGTTTTGGCGGCCTCCTGATTCCATTTTCTAGCCTTATGCCTGTTGGGGGGTTGTGTTGTAACTGTATCTTATACACAACATACATAGGCTAGAATGGTGTAGCTCTTTATGTTCTTGGGGGGTTGGGTGTACACTCCAACCACATTTTGTGGTTGGTCAAGGTTGGGTTTGGTCTTGGTCCTTGGTTGGCACTTGCTAACTTTTGGTCCTAAGGCCTACCAATCACAACCTAGCAACATTGTGGGGTTACCTACTCCACAAGGCATCTCTCCCATTGGCCAACTTAGTGGCCAATAGGGTTTGCTCCTTCTTCACCCCTCTCTTGCTTGCATGCTTGTACTATAGAGCCTCCATGGCTCATTATTCAACTACTCTTGAATTCTATCAAATCCCATGTGCAGAGGCACCATGTGATACTCCCAGGTAGGTGCATAGTGAACACCCTTGCGATGCATTCCCCCCCCACTGTAGACTAGTGTTGCTGCTAAGACATGCGATGTCGCCAGCACAAGCAGGCAGGGAGGGAAGCTGCTGGTGGGGCTGTCTGCTGCAGCACGGTTGCATGAATGAATGGAGTGGTAGATTTACCCATCTGCAGAGGTGACTTTTGAGACGTCTCAAAAGTTGTCGTCAGCACAAGCACAAGCACAAGCACAAGCACAAGCACAAGCACAAGCACAAGCAGGCAGGGAGGCTGCTGGTGCTGGTTGGTGGGGCTGTCTGCCCTGACGTGTCTGCACGGTTGCATGAATGAAGTGGTAGATATACCCATCTGCAGGCAGAGGTTTGTGGGGGCGACTTGTTTGTTGCTTGCACCCAAGTGGTTGATGCACGCACACATCAAAATGTTACAGCTTTCTCCCTCCTCCCACCTTACACCTGTTCTGCGCTTCGTTTTCTGTTTTCTCCCTTATAGCTTCACACTACACTTTCTCTCTCCTTCCACACTCTCCCTCCCTCCACTCTCTCCCTCCCTCCACTGCAGCCCACCATCCGCGCCTGAATGCTGCTGCAGCTCTCGTGCGCTCAGGTGAGGCCTATGTGAGATGAGGGCTGTATATCAGGCGAGCTGAGAGCCACTTTGAGGTGACTCTGGAGTGTATTCAATAATCCAATTTTCATTTAAGGTTACCCTTCAGCTGATTGTTATTGTAGAATGAGGAT